AATAATAATAAAAAAATATATCTATTCATTCTTGAATAAATAAATGTCCAATGAATAATGAGATAAAAAAAAAAAAAATGTCCATCCGATAAAATGATAAAAAAAAAAACGTTAATGTTATGTTTTTATAAACATGTAAATAAAAGGTGTAATGCCAATTTATTATTATATACAAAATGTATTATTATAAAAAACCTAATTTTTCTAAATATTAAATAAAAAAGAAAAATAAAATAAAATAAATAAAAAAAATAAATTTGAATTATCAAGAATTAACTTTCCGTGTTAACATTGTTTCATAAGTATCTGCAAAATTTTGAGGTAATTGACCATGCATTTGATATAAAGTACTCTTAAGTCTACAATGTTGAAATACCAAATATTTATAATTTGAAAAGAATTCTTCTGGTAATTGCCATGAATCAGGGTCAAGAGGATCACCATGACAAATTGATTTTGTAATTAATAATTCAATTAAATCATAAAGATCAAAATTATTTTGATATTGAATCATTCTTGAACGTAAATGAAGACAAGGAATTAAATCAATTCTTCTATCATGAGGTAATTCCAAATAAGATAATTGTGCTTCTGTAAGAGGATATTTTAATTTTGGATTAACAGGTGTATTATAAAAATCTGTTATTCCAACTAATTTAGCTAATCGAACACATTGATCAAGTTCTTTAAATAAATCACTTGATATTTCTGATTTTGTAAGAACGATACTATTATTAAAATTTGTAATTGAATTTGGATAAATGTCTCTTGATCCATCAACGTTAGAGGTGAATATACCATAATTGTCATCGATTATACAATCTGAAATCAATTCAGAATTCTGAACAATAAGATCAGAAGTAGGTGTAGATAAGTCATTATTTATCAATATTTCATTATTAGACTTTGGTAGAATAAAAGGTTTTGAAAGTTCCGAACCATCAAAATTTTCTGAAATATTTGCCGGTATAGTAGATGAATCCAAATTATTATCATTCAAATCCAAACCAGGTGAAGTAGGAGGACTTTTCGTTACTGAAGATTCTGGTGATAAAGAGATAGTACTGTTTGGTGGTGATAAAAAACTGCATACATTATTATTAATTAATTGAAATGATTGTAAATTTCTACTCATTTCAATAGGCATTTGATTATTTAATAAAGGATTTGATGAAGGATTTAAGGAAGGTGAACTAAATTGAATACGTGATAATACAGTATCTTTAATCTTTGAAGTAGCATCAGTACCACCATATAAATTATTTAAAAGTACTTCAAAGTTAACTGATACTTGTTTCCAATAAAGATTTTCATTTCGAAGTCGTTCAACTAATGAACGTAATTGTTGACTTTCACGATAAGTTTTAACAGCGGATTGATATTGACTTTCCCTCAAGGATTTAATAGTATTTTCGAGATCTTTTAGATGACGTTCTTTTCGTTCTCTGAAAGCACGTTGAGCGGCACGATTCTGAGCTTTTCGTAATGCTGGTGAAGCAGGATTTGGTTTTCGACCAGGTTTCTTTCTTTGAGGAGGAGTAGGTTGTTTTAATTCTGAGTCATTTTGATTAGACAAAATTGAATCATCATTAATTGTATTAACATCATCTTCATCTTCATCAAAACTTTCAAAATCATCATAATTATTATTATTATTATATGATAATAAATAATTTCGTTTTAAATTCTTTGGGCCACCTTGGACGTTTAATTTTCTTTTCAAAATTTCTTCAGTATCAGACATTTTTTTTCTTCAAAATATGATGTTTAATAATAAAAAGTGTAGCGTGTGTAATAAGATAATAAAAAGTGTAGAGTGTGTAATAAGAAGAATAATAATTTTTTTATTCTTTGAAATTTGTTTTTTTTTTTTAAAAAAAAAAAAAAGAAAAATATTTTATTTTAGACAAAAAAAAAAGATACCAATGTATTTATATAAAAAAAAAATCGTGATGTTATGGAAGAATATAAAGCCGAATATTCTATTTAAAGTATTACGGTATATATTTTATAGAATATATTGTAAAACGTGATATGTATATATTTACAGTACCATATTATCGGAATTTTTTAAATATATAGAAATAAATAGATTGATTTTTTTTTTTAAAAAAAGTAGTTTAAAAGTAGTTTAAATTTTTAACCTAAACTATATATTCTTTATATATGACTGAAATATTCAAAATTATCATTCAGTAAATATTATGTACGTGGGGTTTCGTTTTTAAATAACAAGTTTGAAAAGATAATTAACAATGTAGAACTTAATAAAATAACTAAATTTAACTAAATTTAACTAAATTTAACTAAACTTAACTAAACTTAACTAAATTTAACTAAATTTAACTAAATTTAACAAATTTAAACATTATAAAATTTTTACCTTTACGTTTTTATATAAATTTCTAATTTATTATATTTATCCCGTTCGAATTAAATACTTTCGGATTGACATCCAGGTTTAGATAAAGATCCGAAAATAAATAGTTAATGAAAGTAAATTACAAGGTTATCATAAGATATATATTTTTGTAATACGTAAATTTGTTCTTTTAAAGATTCTTTGTTCCCTTGAAATATATTCAAATTGTGTTAATCCGGGTGATCAGTGGTAATAATCTAGTGTTAATCTTAGTGTTAGTCTTAATCTTAGTCTTAATCTTAGTGTCAGTCTTAATCAAATGAGGTTTAATCTAATGAGTATTTAATGTGTTAAAATCCAATGAATATTTGGTGTTAATCCAGTGAATATTATAGTCCGGTATCAAGAGGATTTTCCGTGTGTCGATAATTTTTTGTCTGGATTCTTTAAATGCAATTAATACGTCATCAATGCATTATCTCCAATTAAAAAAATGTTTCTGAAAATATTTCATTCAAGAGTAATATCTAAAGTTTTTCAAACATTTCAATATAAACAAATAAAAAAGAACAAAGAAATTTTTTTAATTAATTTTTATTTTTGTAACATGGTGAAAATTTTGATCACAGTAATTATTTTTTCCGTAATCGCCATAGAATATCATTAACATGTGATTTTTCTTTCATATTTTATATTTATAACTTCTCTTATTACGTATAACTCTCTTATTATACTCTCTTAATTGCACGATTTTTACTACTTACTTTTAATAGTCTTTTGTATTTAACAAATAAATTTTCCTTTTAATTCTTGTGTATCAAAGTTAAAGCCATGATCGTCAACCTCTTTTTAAATAGTTTTTGAATGAATTAACTTTACGCAGTTACGGTATTTTTGAGAAAGCATTTAAAAATACTATACTACATCATAATTCACCATATTCTATAAAATAAATTTATACTAATTTAGTTCAACCGTTACAATGACATTTTCTTTTCGGCTAATGAAAACTAAAATTAGTTAGTCAATCATCGGTACGCACCGCTAAGATATCCGCAGTTATGATCTACTACATACACCTTCTCATCTTTTACAGATCTTCACTTTAGTTAATGATAGAAGTTTTGCATTTTGTCAAAAACAAAAAAAAAATTTCAATAACGATAAATTAATATTCAATTATTGAAATCCTGATCACCTGCCGATTAAATTAATTGTAAATGAAAAGATTATCATCATTTATTTTGTTGGAAAACAAAAGAAAAAAAAAAAAAAAAAAAATGAAAAAAATTTTTTTTTTCACTCTACTGTGTACACCCTTGTACGCTAGTAACAAGACAATGAATGGATGTATGATAACCATCCGATATCGATATCGATATAAACCAAAAATATCAAAAAACAAACATAATTTATTTAAAAGGAGAAATTATATAGTATTATATAAATATCTGATATACGTATACGTATATATTTTTTTTTTAATGCATCTTCATCTTATCAAAAATACACGCGGATATTGTTGTCAAACCGATTATATCATTCTTACCATTTTGGTTTAAAAAGTTATATCTAAAAATTTTTACAAGAATTCTTAATATGTAAAAATGTTTCTAAAGAACTTTTCTTTATTATATTACACATAAACACAAGAGGCAAACAGATACATACAGATACATACAGATACAACACAAGAAGACATATAAGAAGCATACCGAGACACGGATGCACAGAGAGAACTGCAAGATATTCGTTTATTACCGAAAAAAATTACCCAATTTCGACCT